GATGCATATTTGGTGGTATAAAATTTGTTTTTGGTGTTATAACTAACTACAGGGACATTTTTACAAAAAAATAATAATAATAATAAATTCCTGCTGAAATGCTGAACAAAAATTTTATTGAAAGTCATTTAGGTGTCACCCTCTCTGACAGTGTCACCTGGTGTGGTCAGCACCCCCCACACTCCCATAGAAAAGCCACTGTTTCTCTGAAAAGCTGACAGCAAAATGGCACATTTTAAGTATGACTTGTTGATGTTCAAGGGTTTCTTCCTCAGATGAGCTTAGCTATTCTGGCATTTGGAATTACACAGTTGTGTTTGTTTATTTGCTGGGTTTTGTTGTTGTTCAGAGATAAGGAGGAGGAAGAAAAAGAGACCAAGAATTCAGCAGAGGAGAACTGAGAGTTGGAGGTCAGTGGGGGCAGGGAAGTGTTTGAATGAGGAGTCAAGGATGCAAAAGAATTATCCCAAAATGTTCAGGGCCCATTTGTACATGGATTTTAGACACCATAACTAAATTGTTGTTGTTATTAGGTGCTGTCGCGTCAGCTCCAACTCATAATGACCCTGTGTGCAACAGAACAAAACGCTGCCCAATCCTGTGCCAGCCTCACAATCCTTGCTATACCCGAGTGCATCACTGCAGCCACTGTGTCGACCCATCTCATTGAAGGCCTTTCCCTTTTTTATTGAGCCTCCACTTTACCAAGCATGATATCTATCCCTAGAGTGTGGTCCCTTCCGACAATATGACCAAAGTACATGAGATGAAGTCTGCCCATTCTTGCTTCCAAGGAGCATTCTGGCTGCACTTCTTCCAGAACAGATTTGTTAGTTCTTCTGACAGTCCATGGTACTTTCAGCATTCTAAACGAAATTGCATAAATGTAAATATATGTATGCAAGCCCAAGTGTTTCAGAGTAGTACTACATGTTTTTCAAGGCTGTGACCATTTGGAAGCAGATCACCAGGCTTTGCTTCTGAGGCACTGTGGGTGGTTTCAAATCACCAACTTTTTGGTTAGTAGTCAAGCACCTAATAGTGTGAACCACCCAAGGCAGGGATTCCTTATGTATGTATCAAAAATATGTCCAGTGAATTCTTCCATTCAGGAAGCTTTAAATAAAACACACAGAGGCAAACACTGCTATATTCACTTGAAATTGGCATTTGGCTGGTACTATTAAACATCAGATATCTAGCTCAGTCTTTCATTGGTTCATTTAGCCAATGAACTAATAATTATCAAAGGCCTCGCACCTGTCAGATGTGTGATTGGCTCCAGGAATGCCTCAGATGTTTGCAGCCTTGAGTTGGGGAAAGAAGACAAGCAAGAAGGTGGTTTCAATAGGCTGGAATTTAGGGTAGGGTCAGCTAAGGGCTGTGTGTACCACTAGTCCAGTGTAGGGTGGTTTGGGTGGACTTTTCTTAGGAGGCAGAAGAGCTAAGGCTGGAGGAGTGAGCAGGGCCAGGGCCAATGCAAAGGACTGTGCACGATGGGAGCCACCAGAAGCTTTAAGAACAGGAAATGACATGATCAGGCTGGGGTTTTAGGAGACTTCCCTGCTTGGATTGCAAAAGACAGTTGCCTAGAAGCGGAGCCTGAGACAGCGTTTTTTGGGCAAGCAATTTCTTGAGGGAGAGGTCTCAGGTGAAGCCTGTAAGGGCACAAGGCAAACAGGAATACCAAAACCACCCAACCTCATTGCCATCAAGTTGATTCTAACTCATGGTGACCCCATGTGTTACAGAGTAAAACTGCTCATAGGGTTTTCTTGGCTGTAATCTTTATGGAATGGAGCTCTGGTGGCGTAGTGCCTAAGGCATATGACAGCTAACCAGAAGGCTGGCAGTTCAAACCCACCAGCCACTCCTCGAAAGGAAGATTGGGTGATCTACTTCTGCAGAGACACTGCCTTGGAAGCCTGAGAAGGGGTCACTATGAGTCAGAATTGATTTGACAGCAGTGAGTTTGGTTCTCATTTTAATCTTTATGGAAGCAGATTGCCAGGTCTTTCTTCCACAGCACTGCTAGGTGGGTTTGAACCACCAATCTTCAGGTTAGTAGTTAAGCACAGTTTGCGCCATCCAGAGATTGAGGTTCAGCAAATATGTGGTCTAGCCTCAGTCTGATCCTGTGGAAAAGTCTGGAGCATGAATGGTAGCCCATATGTGTGCCTTTTGAGGCCAGAGGGCCAGGCTTTTGTGCCCCATTGTCAATGGGGTGCCCCCAGGGGTTGTTAGTTGTTATTGAGTTGATTAATGGTGACCCCATGTGTGCAGAATAGAACTGCTCCATGGGGTTTTCAAGGTTGTGACCTCATGGAAGCAGATCTCCAGGCCTGTCTTCCTCGGTGCCTCTGGGTAGATTTGAACTGCCATCCTTCCAGGTTGTAGTCAAGTGCTTAACTCTGCCACCCAGGGATGTGTTTGTGCATTTCCAGGTGACTGGTGCTTTCCTCCCAGGACAATGCTCAGGGGATGTATGTAGCCATGAGTGCTAGCAGCTGACACTCTCAGCTGCTGAGGGGTGAGCACAGCAGCCCAGTCGAGAGGATCTAGGCGGTTCACCGGACCATCTACTTCCACAAGGAAGGGAGAGGCGGTCAGGAGGCTTGACAGCCTCCCATGGGGCAGATTGCAGTGTGCCGTTGCTGGAGAGGAGAAGGAGAATCAGTTCCGTTAATGGAAAATGCATTAGGCTTTCTAGAGAGAGTGGCCAAATAGAGCTGAGAGCAACAGGACATTACCAGCGGTTTGGCTGAGGGCAAGGCCTAAGAGGTATATCCATCAACCCTGAAGAAAAGAGGCCCACAATTCAGAATTAATCAGCGATAAAGGGAGTGGAATTTGGGGAACATTGAGCTATGTGACAGGTGAGGCAGGGATGGGACTATGTCAACATTCTAAAAATAAATAACCTCTCTGCTTTCCATCAGAGGTGCTCAAAGTAATTTGCAAACATTTGCAGGCATGTTTTCACAGGGCTGAACTGCAGGCAAAGCTCCTGCTGACTTCACAGGGAGCTCCCAGGGGGCATGCAGCAAGGTGAGGCCTTGGTTCTGGGTAATTAAGACTTATGGCCCCCTTGTTAGTGAAGAAATCCCTGTGAGCATCATTAAGATGCAAGGGCTCCATGCAGCCTCGCAGCCCCTCAGCCTGCGGCCATTAGACACCCACTCGAGCTGTCATTAATTTCACTATCCTTCACTTTCTGAAATCAGAGGATGACATCACTTTGATTAAGAGGGACAATCACATTACAGACAATCAATGGAGTCAGCCAGCGTTGTTCATCAGAGCACTCACTAATGGTGGGGTTGGTGCTCCACGGGGTTGACTCCAATTCCACTGTTCCAAGTGGGTAGGAGTCTCCATAAACCCCTTTTCCCAATTTTCTTTTTTTGTCTTCCTCCCTGCATCCTTCTTGAAGACACAGAAGTGCTCATTGGTGGTTAGGGTTGGACAAGAGGAGATCTCTCTAGAACCCTCTGTGGACCCCTCTTCTGGATCTGGAAGGAGGAAGGATGGGTTAATGAGTTGGCAGGTGTGTATCAACCATCCCCCTTTGCAGGGTGCTGTAATGGCAGGAAAAGAGTCATGAAAAATTTTACAATACATTCCTGGCCAATACATTAACAGAGCCCAAAATTCTGCTGGAGAGACACATCTCTACTCAGAATGCAATACCTGTGGGCAAAGAGGTGGTGAGGAACACAATTTTAGAGTCTGAGGATCTGGATTTGAACCCTGGCTTTGCCATGTTGGCTGTGTGACCTTGGCAAGTTATACAATTTCTCTGTGCCTCAGTTTTCTCACCTATAAAATGGTGATAATAACAGTAGCTATCTTAGAGGGTAGTCATGCGGATTAAACATGGAGCAGAAGTTCTTGAAACCTGGACTTTGCTCAATAAAACCAAAAACCAAACCCCTTGCCATTCAGTTGATTCGGACTCACAGCAATCCTGTAGGACAAAGAAGTGGCCCATAGGGTTTCCAAGGGTGTAATCACTGTGGAGCTCTGGTAGCATAGTGGTTAAGGCACTTGACTGCTAACCAGAAGGCTGGCGGTTCAAACCCCCCAGCCACTCCTCGGAAGGAAGATGGGGCAATCTACTTCCGTAGTGATACTGCCTCAGAAACCCAAGGAGGGGTCGCTATGAGTCGGGTCTGACTCCATGGCACATTACAACAACAACAACAACAACAATCACTGTGGAAGCAGACTGTCACATCTTTCTCCTGTGAAGCCACTGGTGGATTTGAACCACAAACCTTTTGGTTGGCAGGTGAGCATTTAACCACTGTGCCACCAGGGCTTCTTTACTGCTTAATAGCTATGCTGAGTGCTTGTCTCTGTTTCCTAGTGCTGCTGTAACAGAAATAACACAAAGAATAGAAATTTATTTTCTCACAGGTAAAGAAGCTAGAAGTCTGAATTCAGGATACCAGCTGTGGTAGTTAAATTTGTGTCAACTTGGCTGGGCCTGGTTTTAGGTGGCTGGGCAGCTGGATGTAGCTCCATGGTGGAATCTGGTGTGAGCAGCTGAGTAGGTGCCTTAGGGATGTGGTCTGCTTCTAGTATATAAGAAGACACTGTGAGAAAAGTCTCTGAGCTTTTTGGTTCATCTGGATCCTGCATCTAGCTGAGTCATCAGTGGTCCGCCATGTTGTCTGCCCATCTTGGGACTGTTTAACTAGCGGCCTGCCGTGTTGCTTGATAATCTTGGGAATGTGCCATTTTACTTGTCAACCTTGGATTTGTCAGCCTCAGCAGCCAGCAGCTGCCTGAGCTAAGACAACCTTCAGCTTCAGTGGGCCGGGAGAAAGAGGCAGAGCTAAAGCCCATCATCAAGAAGCCTTCACCCAGCCCTAGAGCTAGCATTTTAACCTTGGACTTCTAGCCTTCTAAACTTTAAGAGAATAAATCCCTGTTTGTTCAAACCACCCATTTGTGGTATGTCTGTTAGAGCAGCACAAGATAATCAAAACACCAACTACAGGAGAATTTCTCTCTCGCCCTCGCTCTCGCCCTCGCTCTCACCCTCGCCCTCGCCCTCACCCTCGCTCTCACTCTCGCTTCCAATCCTCGTCATTTCCAGCTTCTTTAGTCCCAGTGTCCCTTAGTTCCTTGGCAATCTGCATCTATCTTCCCCAGTATGAGCTTGTGTCTGTGTGTAGTCTGCTCAGATATCCCAGAACTAATTAGGTTTAGGACACACCCTATAATGATGTTGCCTTATTAACATAATGAAGAAAATCCTATTCCCAAAAGGGATTCCATTCACAGGTGTAGGAGTTAGCATTCCAACACTTATTTTGGGGAGGCATCATTCAACCCAGAACAGGGGTTAACATGCTTTCTATCTCATCTAACTGGCAAACAACCTAAGAGGTGGGAACTATTATTATCCCTATTTACCAGCAAGGAAATGGAGGTTCAGAGAAATTTAGGAACTTGCACAAAACCCCAAAGCTAGGTACCCAGAACCAAGGCTCTCAGCCATTATTCTACAGTGTTTTGTCCAAGAGAATAGATGAGGGTCAACTGCTTTAGATACTCAGAGAATGAAGAGCTCCCTGGAATGGAAGCAACCAAAGAAGCTTTCTGCTGAGTCTTCCATTTGTGTGTTGTTGTTATGTGCCGTTGAGTTGGACCCGACTCAAAGCAACCCCTTCTTGGGTTTCCAAGGTGGTGTCTCTACAGAAGTAGATTG